AAAAACAATGACACACAATTTTAAAACAAAATAGGAGAGCAACAAAGGTTAACATATTGCTTATGGTTATCTTCAAAGCAGGTACTCAGATTATAAGATATAGGCATGAAAAATTGATGAAACATTGCAATGAACTAATATAAATTAGCAGTATAACTATCATATATTGTATATATTTACTTTTATACATTATATGTAATATATGCATTTACTTTTATATATTATATATTATATATGTATTTATTTTTTCTTTCCCTTGCTCCTTTTCACCTTTCCCCATCCACGTTTCTCTTTCCTTTTGAACAGCTCCTTCCCATTTCCTGATATCCGTTGTACATTTGGGATCTTACTGGTTCAGCTTCTTACACTAGTGAGACAATGCGACGCTTATATGTGGTCTCTCTTATTCCAACTCTGCCACTAAGCAAACTTCTCCTTTCATAATACTCATTTTGATCCTTACTTGTTACTCCTCAGCACTTCCATAATGCTTTTCCACTTACCTCTATTGCAACAATTGTAACGCTATAGAATAAGAGATTTCCTGGTGTTTATCCCCATTATTTTTTGAGCCTTTTTAATCTTTGATTCCCCAAGTCTTAACACATTCCTAGCACAGATCAAGTGCTCTTAGTTGAATAAAAAAAAATACAAATAAATTATTTCATGTACAACTTTACAAATAACCATGAAGAAGAAAATTAAAATATGACTTTTAAAGCTATAAGTTTGTTATAAAGAGTCATTTATTTAAACCAATGCTGTCAGTAAAACAACAGCACTTGGCTTAAGCAAACACCAGTTTCTAAACTTATTATGTTTCTGATTAAGAATTGCACCTTTACTATAATTTGTCTTAAGGGAAAACTCTACAGCTCCCAAAATCTGTTTGTATTTTTAGGGAAAATACTTACAGGGGGCCAGGGAGATGGCTCAGTAGAACAAGCGCTGCCCTGGAAAATATTTACAAATAGGCTTCCTGCCCCACCTACCCCATTCAGTTGAATTCAAGTCTAAACACAGGAATTCTCTAGCAACAATGAAATAAACAGTCTCAGGGCTTCTACTAAAAAGAACATCACTTTTGGAAAACACCCAGCCATTTCTGTTCCTTCAATTACCTTTTACATGGAGTGAGCTCGAATCAATGTCTGGCGCTGCCCCAAGGCTGGCAGACCCATCCGCTGTACCCATTGACCTTTCATGGATAAAATGTAAAGGTCAGGGTATTGTCTCAGCCAAAACATTCCATTGCCCTTTTCTCTATTGGTCTGCTGAGTTTCTTGGTTGCACTAAATCTTACCTTTTGTAATAAGATCCACAGACCAGGGTTTTTCATTTATACTTAAAAAATGTGGCTCCTTGAAAGAGGTTTGTCCTCTTGAAGGCTCTGCAGGATGCCAGCTTTTGGTGCACTCCCTGGGAAAACACAGACGTCGAAGCGCTGTCCGATGTTCTTGGAATACATCAGTGTCAGGTGTTTCCTTTTTCTTAAGCTCCAAAGGGATATATTGGGTAGATTTTGGTTTTTGGTATTTATTCCTGAAAACATTTATAGAAGGACCTTGAACTTTATTCTAGGAACAAGATAAAAATAATTTTTAAATTGATGGTATTTGTTACTCAATTATGTATCACTTTCATCACTAAATAAGATTGTAAAATAATTTCACAAATTGGAAAATAAATTTCAATTGTTAAATTTATAAGCTTATATCTTTCTTTTCTCCTTTTCTTTTGGTGGTACCAGGGATTGAACTCCGGACTTTGTGCTTGCGAGGCAAGTGAGCTACCCCCGCGGGCCCTATGAGCTTATATCTTTATTAAATATATTTTACAACTTTTCTTACTATGTACATCATTTACTATAGAGAACATGACTACAATCAGTTGGTCAGATGTTACTTTACATAGCTTTCCAAAAGCTGGTCACAAACGTGAAAGTTATATTTTCAAATTCAAAACTAGTGTAAGTTTTAAAGTAGTAACTTTGTCTTCATGGAAGGTATTTTAAAATGCAGACTCAAAGTCCATTTTAAGTACTAGAGCTTTCCAATAGACATAGAGGAATGTAATTACATTCAGTCACCTCTAAACAACCCTTAAATATCCATAAAATGCTCACATTCCCAAACCTGTCGCTCATCTAAAATGGTGAGATGGCTCAGTGGTCTAAAGCACCTACTTAGAACAAGCTTGGCAAAGCACAGGGACCGCGGTTCAATCCCCCAGCACCACATGCCAGCCAGCC